AATGTATAAGCTACACACATTTGCTTGTACTGCCCAGCTGAATTTCACATGATTGATTCCTAAAAATTGTTTTGCTAAACAAATAATAACTTTTTGTTACCACTACTACTGTTTATTGAGTATCTGTTATGACAGTATGCTAAATTATACCTCATAATCTTGTAACAATACTTCAAAGTAGTTATTGCTTTCATTGTAGGAATGAGGAAATAGTTGTCAATAAAATGTCTTAGCTAATGCTCCATCGTTTGTAGGTGAACAAGATAGATTCAGTTCAGTTATTTTTCATTCAAAAGTTGTTCTTTCCACAACTCCCAAATAGTTGTATACTAGAAGTTTTTTTTTCTTATTCTTAATTGACTGTACTTGAAACTAAATTTATTAAAAATCAGTTTTATATCATTTATTAACAGGGAACCAGGTAAATGTATTCATATAGAATATTTCAACAAGTTACAAAGCAGTATATAGAGAATATGTTAAAATAATGCAAGTTTGCATATATACACACAGAGATGTATGTATGTATATGTGTAAAGACCTAATTCAGAAGGGAAATGAATCTATTTAATACTATATAGTATGTAGATAGATGAAAAGTTTAGTTACTGTAATTTTCTTTTGGTTGTTTTCTATATATTTATACATTTGTACATAGGAATATGTGTTTTTTTAATAATATTAAGCTGATATGCTAGATATATTGAGTGACTACAGTTACTTTATCACCTCCAGAGAGACCCATCAGGAACATACAATAGAATTTACAAGTTATATAATAAGGAAAAGAGCCACTAATTCTAGTAATTCTTTCATGTTTTGCTTGCTTGCATTTTTATGGTTGGACATGACAATTAGCAAGCTACAATTCTTTTTTCTTTTTCCTGTTAGTTTCTTAACTTAAAGATTTCAGAGACTGTCACAGATCATCTCATATGTGCATTTACACTAATTGCATAACATTATTGGCAACAGTTAGTTTTGGAGAAGCTAAATTGAAAACATTGAGAGTAAAAGGAGAGAGTTAAACCTCTAAATTTCCTTTTGCTGCTTCTCCATGTATTCATCTATTCCATTCCCCTACGCATTGATTTCTGCTTGCTCACTATTCTTTCTAGGGTCTAGAAAGTGGCAGGTCTAACAGTACAACACTGGATCTGGTAAGTTATTCTTATATGCCAAGTCTGTTTTAATGAAATATCACTAAATTCATTTGTGTTTTTTCTACTCTATGTTTGCATTTTGACATAATCGGAGAACTGAGTAGAAGGAGTAGAATTTGTATGACCTGTACAGTCTAAAATACTTAATAGCTGGACTTTACAGGAAAAATTTGAAGACTCCTAATCTAGTAGGTAAAAGAAGAAATTAGGGACTTTTTAATGCCAGCAGAACTTAACCAAATATTAAGCATTCCCCATAAGACCTTTATAGCACATGAGCTATATAGTATTTATCTAAAACAAAGTGACACTGATATTATGTTTTAATTGTTCTAAGAAGTAGTTTTTGGGAGGAAATGCCCAATCTTTGAACAATATATTACAAAGAAACTTTGAAATATTTTCATAGTTGGGACATTCTGGTGATTATGTAAAGAGAAAGGGGTAAGGCAGAGGGGAAAGGAGAAAGACTGGTTCATTTTTATTTGGACTGACGATAACACCTGCTTTATAGTGTACTATTTTCATTTTTATCATTTTATATTATTAGTCATTAGGCAGACATTTTGCTTATTATCTATCACTTTTCAAATTGCTTTCATGGTTGCTTTTTATATTTGATTGTTACTTTTCTTCCAAGGTCAAATATAAGGTTCAGTTGAGGATTTATCTTGTTCATTGATATAGTCCCAGTACCTTAAGCAGTTCTTGACTGTAATAGATATTTGATAAATACTTGTTAAACAAATTAACTCACTTATAAGTCTTTATTTTTGGTGTAAAATTATCAGCAGTTTGCACCTAAAAGATAGGCAATAATTTGAATCCACCAGCCTTTGTGAAGAATGATTTTTCAGATTAACCATTTTGTTAGATCATTACATAATAGTAACTAAGTGGTTACTCTAGTACCTGACAATCTGATTATAAATTAATGTTAAATGGTTAAGTTATATTTTTTCATTAGGTGAATTTCATATTGACATTAATGATCCTTAATTCTGAAATTATAAGCTGCTTTGGAATCTAAATTACTTTAAGGGTTTTTATGAAATTTTCCTAAAATTCTCAGGTAGTTGACTCACTTTGACACCAGTGGCTTAGTTTTTCTGCCAGTCTTTCCAAAGACAAACCATTTATAGTAATGAAAAAAAAATGTTACTAAATACTAATGGTGACCTTGTAATTTGTATTCCCTTGTAAATTCTTTTGGATGCAATCTGACTCTACACAATGGACTTTTCATTCCACTTTAAAGATTGCCTGAACCACTAATTATAAAAACCTCCTAAACCACTTAACCTATATTGAAGTGTCATTTGAATTAGAAATAAAATCCAAAATTTGAAGGAGATGCTTTAACATTGAATGAATCATTTCAGTATAAAGCAATTACAAAATTGAGTAGAAGTAACTGAAATATGTAATGTCCTTAGTGGAGCTGATACAAACCAATTTGTGATGTAATGGCCAACACCCAGTAGAGTAGAATGAGAAAAGATAGGAAGATGCAAGCTAAATGTAAAATAGGACAGTGCAGTTTCACTAAGGAAAACACTGATCAAAACATTATTCCTTGGTTTTGTGCTAAATAAAAATTTCAAAGGAGGTATTAAATGGTTCTAGTAATTAAAAGGTCAGCAGTGTATTTTTTTCTGTAGATTGTCAGTTTTACTTAAAACAAATAGGAGGATGCCAACTGTATTAATAGAAAACTAGTTTAAAGCAGTCTGAGGAGGTTCACACTTTTATTCTGGAGTTCAGTAATCTGTTTACCACGGGGCCATCTGCTTGTTGACATCTACTGAGTATAAGACTGTGCCTTTACTTATATATAGCAAGTGAGCTAAGAATGGTTTTTACATTAAAAAAAAAAAAAGTATTTTTATGCATACAAGAACTTGGATACAGGCCAGAGGTGTGGTGGGTGAGAGGATTCACCAGAGACACAGTAGGGAGCAGAACAGGCAGATTGACAAAAATATACTGCTGAGGGGAGCAGCAGGCAGTTCAGGAGAGGTCTGCCAGGTCATGTGGGTCACCTCCCTGGTCTGGACTCAAACTGATGCTGCAGTGGCTGTGGACAGCTTCATGGTACTGTGCTTTAATTTGCTGTGCCACCAGGGAGGGCCTTTTTACACTTCAAAGCATTTTTTTCCTCTTAGTATTTTAAAGATACAGCTCCACTGTCTTACCACTTGCCATGTTTACTACAAGAAATCTGCTGTCATCCTTTTCTTTGACCTTTCCAAGTAACATGTCTGCTTTTATTTGGCTGTTTTAAAGATTTTTCCTTGTCAGTGGTTTTGACTAATTTGATTAGGATATCCCTTGATCTAGTTTCCCTTCATGTTTTCTGTACTTAGAGTTTATTGAGCTAGTTGGCTTATTTTCATCAAATTAGGAAACTTTTCATCCATTATTTCTTCAAATAAATTTTCTATCCCTCACTTATTTCCTTTAAAGACTCTTAATTACATGTATTATAATTGTGTTAAGCTATTTGAAGTTCTACAGATCACATATGCTCATTCTTTCATTATTTTTCTTTTCTTGTTCAATTTTGTATAATTTCTTTTGCTTTGTATTTAAATTAACAATACTTACCTTCTATAAAATGGTAGTTTAAATTGAATGTTATTCCATCTAGAATGTTTCGTTTGAGACATTGTAGTTTTCATCTCCAGAAATTTTATGTATTTTTAAAATGTGTGACTTCAAGATTTTGAACATATAGATGATAATTATAAAAATTGTTTTAATGTCTTTTTCTGCTAATTCCTACACATGTCAGTTGTGGATCATTTTCAGTTGATTAATTTCTCTGTTCATTAGTGGTCATGTCTTCCTGCTTCTTTGTTTGCATAATAAGTTTTGACTATATGCTAAACATTGTATATTTTGCATCACTAGGTGCTTTATATATTTATTAATCTTTTTGATTATTGGTTTAAAAGTTTAGTACTAAAAAAACAATTTTTAATTCTTTCAGATCGCACTTTGGAGATTTGTTAAGTGGGATAAAAGAACTGTTTAGTCTCTATTTTCATTGTTCCCCACTACCAAGTCAGAATTTTAAAGTCCTGGAAACTATTAAGTTTTTCAGTCTGGATAGGAATGAGCACTGTTCCTTGCCCTGTGAATGCTGTACATTCTTACCTTTAATTCTCTTGAGCATTAATTTCCTTACATGCGCTAATCATTGTTCTGCTGACTATCTGAGAACTATCTGCAGAGGTCTCTTTCTCTGAACTTCTCTTAAAAGTTCTTGCTCGCCTCAGACTCTGAATTCAGTCTCTTTTAAGTCAAACTGTTTGCCTAGGTTTCTCTTTTTAGTACCAAGGCTTGGAAATACTGTTAAAGACACCAAGCTGGGGCATTTGTAGAGCACACTTTTATTTCTTATTTCAGGAATCTTTGTGCTTTAACTTCTTGATGTCCATTGTCTAAAGAACTATAGCTTCATAAATTTTGTCCAGTTTTTTTTTGTGTGTGTGTAATTCAAATAGTGTAGTATGTTTAGTGCTCATTAATTATATTGTATTCAGAAGTGAAAGTTAGAATGCTGAAATTTAAGATTTAGTTGTTCAGTACTTACAGGTCGAAGATACACAAGTTGGACCACAACACATGAGAGGACTCTAGATATATGAAGGTCATTGAATGAGTCATCTGCATGGATGGACTTTAAAATCACCAAAGTAGATGAATTAAGATAGATAATGAAATGTTAAACCAAGAGCTAAAATTGTGAAGTTTTGTACTGCATATTTTATGGTTTTGGTTCAGAAAATACTCTTTTAAATTCTGTTAAAATTATCTTATTTTTTATTCTAGAACCTTCTGATAATTTAAGGGAGATTCTCCAAAATGTGGCAAAATTACAAGGAGTTTCAAATATGAGAAAACTAGGCCATCTGAATAACTTTACTAAGGTAAGTAACTTGAATATTAATGTCATCATCTAAAATTCTTTATTCCTTATGATACTACTTAATAGATGTGACTTAACAGCCATTAATAAGATACACTCAAAGAATTTCCTCTGCTTCTCAGGAGTTTTCTCATGTGTTTTAAATATAAATATATTTGAATAATGGAAGCATTTATATCCTTATAGAAAAATTGGTATTCAGAAAAGAATAAAGAAAAGGTCACTGAGAATTTTACATCCAGACCAGTCTTCCATATTATTCATATAATATTGACCTATTTTTTTACTCATTTTTCTGTGATAATATAAGTATGTTTATGTTGAAGTAATTTTTAGTAAACATTGAGTAGGTGTTTGAGAAGAGATTTTCAAGAATGTCCCTATGTTTTATGTATGTAATGAAAATCTTCAAATACCTTTCTTTCAGTGTGCTAGCCAGATATCACGTTGTTAACATACAAAATTGTTTCAAGATTCCAAATTTACATCTTTAATTTGCTAGCTTTATTTCTGCATTTTTCATTCAATCCTGGTAAATCTTTCTGCTTGCCTGGATTTAACTGTTAAAAACGGTTTGGTAGAGGTTTATGGCTTGGTTGAGCTCATGTTATTATGGTTACGCCTAGAGACGAAATTTTACATTTTGTGGTTTGGGGATAGATACTCCTTCCTCCCTCCCTCCCTCCCTCCTTCTTCTCCCTTTGTGCCTTTACTTTTTACCCTCTCCTATTTTGTTTTTATTTCCTTCCATAATCTCTCCTCCTTTCTCCGTTCCTCTCTCCTTCCCTTCCACTATTGTATAAAATGATTATGTCTGTTAGGATGCCCTAGGCTTTTATATGCTTGCTTGCTTTTGTTGTGCATGCATGGTCTTTGTTTATAGTTTTATTTTCCTCCTATCTTGGTGTCAGCTAATAGCATATCTTTTATTTGCAGTTTTGGATTATTTGTGGGTTTTAAAACCATATTTCTAAACTTAGTAGAATCGTCTACAGTATATGAGGGTCTAACCCTGAGTTAAGATCCCAGGGCTGTTATATTAGTAAAGTCCATAATAAAGTTTGGACTATATTGTTTTGGCTGCTTGGTGATATAATGGGAAAAGCTTGATCTTTAGATAAAATAGATGGGAACTTATAGCCTAGCTTAGACTTTAACTGTCAAAGCTATTTGGGGAGATTTCTTTACTTAGAGTTAACATGCTGCCACTGAAGGCAAGATCCCAGTGTAGCACCTAGCACATAATGTGAACTTGGATAGTATCTTTCAACCTGGGATTTATTATTTTGTTTTGTTTTTCAACATTTTGTCACTTTTTTAGTTCTTTGTATGACTCTAGGGAGATGAGTCTGCTTAATAGCTTGAGTTGCAGGTTGGTAAGTTGTTACAGTAACAGTGATTTTCAACCTCAGTAATATTGACATATTAGGCCAGATCATTTATTTGGGGAGGGAGAGTGCCTTCTTTACAGTGTCAAGCAAAGTCCTTGGCATCTATGCTAGAAGCATAACTCCACCATTTGGGATAAACAGAAATGTCCAGATATTGCCAACTATTCCCAGTGTACAGAATTACTTTTGGTTAAAAAGCACAGCTATAAATAATTATCTGTAGATTTTATTATAAAATTTCTAAATACCTAGCACCAACTAAACATTAAACTGAATTTAATTATAATGTAATACCTACATTCTGTTTCACTGCAGAACCAGATTAGCAGGTATTTACAGAGCTGTTATTCCCATAAAGTATGTGCCTTCATTCCTTATAGAATAAAATTTACTAGTCAGCAGTCTATATGACAAGCTTTATAGAATAAGAAAATTAAAAAAAATTATTATGAGGCCAGGAGATTATTTAATAGTTAATTGCTATTTTTTTAAACACAAGAACTATATACTGTATTTATTTCTGCATTCTTATATCCTTTTCTAACCTAAAGCCTGGCAAATAACAAGTATTAAAGGTTTTATATCAAGGTTGGGAGGCCTTTACATTTTTAAATGAGTTTTTGTTGTTTTGTTAACTAAATTAACATAGTAGGCAGTGGGGTAAAAATGTTGTATAGGGTAGATTTTATCTCTAAAATTAAGTCTCCTTTTAAAGTGTGAAGAGAGGGTGAAGGTGATAGGATTCTATAATGAATGTCACCGACCCATCCTTGCCTTCTGACATCATTTCACAAGATAAAGTAATGTGTATAACAGCTGATGAATTTAAACTTAGTATTCTATTTTTAAAATTGGCAAAATGCTTTTGATCTAAAAACGTGTTTATAAGTTCTTTTACATTCTAAAAGTTGTCTTTCTTATATTTAATCTTATTATTTATACTAGAAACTCCAAAAACATTTTATTTCTTCAAAAATATTAAAAGCTGAATGTAAGAAAATCAAATAGTACAGAAGAATAGATGGTTAAAAACTGGAAGTTTTCTCTCACATACCCTTCCTATTCAGCTCCCTACTGATAAAAAATACTACTTTCCAATGTTTACCACTGTAAGGTATTTTTCTTCTTTGTTGTAATACTTAGTATATGAGTGTGTATGTGTATCTGTGTTTCATTTAGTTCTGAAAATTAAATGAGCTAAACAAAAAAGTGTAAAAAATACTAGTAGTGCCCAGTTTACCAATTATATTATTTATTGTGTGTGTATATATAAATATACAAGTCTTATATAATGAGATTGTGTGTTATGTTGATTTGTAGTTTGTTTTTCTATTTCCCAATATATGAGTCCATTACTTTTCTATTTTTTTTATATATAGAAATGTTGGTATATCCATATACACACACACGTGTTATTTTTTTTAAAAGATTTTTTTATTTATGCATACAGAACTGAGGACAAGCCAGAAGTGTGGGGGCAGTGAGAGAATTCACCAGAGTCAGAGTGGGGAGCAGACCAGGCAAACTGAGGAAGTACACTGCTGATAGGGCCACTGTGCCATGTGGGTCACCTCCCTGGCCAGGGATTGAACTCATGCCAAAGCAGCTATCAGTAGCTTTGCAGTGTTGTGCTTTAACCCATTGCAACACCAGAGAAGGCCCTGTACATGTTTAAATTTATCCTTCCATCATCAAAAATATAAGCTTTTCCACTTGTTGCTATTTTAAGTAACACCTGTATATTTTTATACAGAATAGATTTCTGGAAGTGATTTCTTAACCAAATAAAAAAACAAGCCACTTTTCATTTCAAAGCTTATATCTAAATTGCCCTCTGCAGAGATCAGTCTATGGAATTTGAATTGATAATATTTTTACAAGTTGGTTTATTCTGTTTCTTGCTTATTTAGTAGGACAATTTATTTAACCTCAGAACAATATGAGTAAAATGGGAATAACATTTATCTGCCTAGTTTTAACTACTCGTTTTATATATATATATATATATATATATATTTTTTAAAAGATTTATTTATTTATGCATACAGAACTGGGGTATAGGCCAGAGGTGTAGGGGTGGTGAGAGGATTCACCAGAGATAGAGTGGGGAGCAGAACAGCCTGACTGACGAAGTACACTGCTGAGGGGAGCAGCGGGCAAGTCTGGAGAGGTCTGCCATACCATGTGGATCAAACTCATGCTGAAGTGACTGCTTTAACCCCCTGTGCCACCCCGGAGGCCCTCGTTATATTTTTGGAAATAGTAATTTAGCCATCATCTCAGATGTTTTTACTGTTCAGAGATAGTTTAGAGTTTGGTATTTACAGCACAGAATGTTGTTAATAGATACTTTTGAGTAATTCAGTTTTATAAGAAAATCATGGATTAATTGCAACAAGTAAAATGATTGACTGGTGTTGGATATGAAATTTAATCAAAATAAAGAAGTGATGTTTTATCAGAATCTTACTCTGTTTGAAAATAACAAAATGCAGAGTAATGGACTGTGAGCAGGGGAGGTGAGAAAACTATGTTGACTACACCCCAGGAGAAAAATCCTATCTTGTGAAAGATAAACACGAATTTAAAAAAGAAAAAATTGAAAAAATATATTATTATAGTGTTTGTTTTGCCTATATAAAACAAACAGTTGTGCTCACAAAATAATTATGGTTGTGATAGTGGTTGTTTAAGTTTGCTTATAAGTAACAAATTTAACAAACCTAATTCAACTGAACTAGAGTAAAAAGTGGTAGTTTATCCTATAATGAGGAAGAACATATGTTAGGTACTAATTTTAGGCATAACAACTCAAGAGATGAAAGATATAACAACATCTTGTTTCTTCATTTCTTTGCTCTATTGACTATAGATTATAATTTTCAGTAATAAAAAGTAGCTTCTTCTGCCATGTCTGTAATAATTCTGAATCTATTTGATTATATTCATCTTGACCTTGTAACTGGTATCATAAACTCACATGGGATGGGATGGTAAAGGATAAAATTGTGAAGTCTGATAACTCAGCATGTTATGTGACTATTCGATTGCTAATTCTTAGATGCATCTTTCATAATTCTAAACATAATCATAACCAGTGGCTTATCTTAATCTAGCAAGCTTGTATATACAGTATGGCAGACAGTATTACATTTTAATAACATACAGGAGGCAGGAGGTTAATCAGTAATGACTAAGGTAATATTGAAGAAGCTGCTCACTAATGATTGAATTGACTAGTATTCAACTGATAGTTGAAGTGGGATGATGTTTCTCATGTTGCAGTTCACACAACTTCAGCATTTTTACTATTTCAACCTGCCTCTTTCCAAGGGTAAGAGTTAAAGGATTTTATTTGTATTTGGAATTTTTGTTAAGTCAGATGGTGATTGATAAAGAAGTGAGTCAGTCACATTAAGAATTTAGTTTTAAAATAATTTATCCTCATTCCTTTATCTTGAAACTAAAAATAATGAACTGGTGATAGAAGTGATGAAGAATGTAAAGGCATGATATTTCTTTGAAAACCAGAAAATCAGAATCTTACCAGTGTTTTTTCTAATTTTTTTATTCCTGATACATGTGAATTAACTTATATTAAAATGTTTAGTCTCTGCTTGGGATAACTTTTCTTTAAAGGGAATATTTTCACATAAGACTTATTAAACCCTTGATTATAATCCTGGTGTCACTTTGAAAGCATTAATTACCATTGAAAGCATTACCTTATTATTTGTGACTGTTCCTGAAAAATAGGTACTGCTTATGACAATTTCATCATAAATTGTTCTTTTTAGTTTTCACTTGTGAATTACTAGGCTCCAACTGAATTTTTTTCATAGAAATCTTTCTTGCAGTTGAAATGCATTAATGTTAGATAGTAGAAAATTATATGCCTTTGAAAATACTTTAGAAATTGTCTATGTTTTAGGGGATCATGTTTGTTTTTTCCCATTTCATAAGAACTGCTAACTCTAACAAATGTAAAGTAGTGAATAGTCATATATTTTGTGATCTGAAGAGGTAGGCATTTTGGAAATTATGCTTTCTAAATCTGTATTTTCTGCAAGGATAATTGGTAAGTGTGAAAAATAATAAAAAGCAGGATATGAGAAGATTAAACCAACCCCTGACATGACAAACCTTTATGTACTTTATTTCTAAGATTTCAAAGCTCTTTATGCCATTAAATCCATTACTGCTATAGTGGAAAATAGAAATAATTGCCCTTTTAGAAATTGACTTGCTATATAAAAATCATTGTCATAGGAAATGAATGTTTTTCCCATTTTAAAAGTAGTATATTTTATATAGTGATGCAAAAATAATTTTAAGCTTCCTTTTTCTAATAACTTTGTGAAGTAGAATATGTGCCTATCCTATTCTATTTTGAGCATTCCCTTTTTTTCCTCTCATGAAGAGATTGGATATGAAAGTTTAACAGGATAATGAATTTGTTACTGCAAACAAATTCCACCCCCCCCCCAAAAAAAAATTGGACTTTTGAAATACATTCTTTCACAAAGTCAAATGTAATGGTAACTTTGAATGGTTTGTTCTGTGTGGCTAAGTTGTTTGCAACTTTTTATTGAAGAAGAATAATAGCATGTAGAGACATTTCTGATTCTTCTGTATTAAATGACTTTTTCTTTGATCCATTTCTATTAAGGCCATTTCTTAGTAACTTAAGAAGCTTCAATGCTACAAATCAGTTTTTAAAACCTAATCCAGGTTAGATTCAGGAAACTAGTATTTATCAGTGTTAATGAAAACAACTAGGAAAGCCTGTTTGAAAGCAGATAAGAACTGCTTAGACAACAAGAAGTGTAGGAGCCAAACATCAGAGAAGGCAGACATTTACAGATGAGTTTACCCAACAGTCTTTGTCTGCGGGAGTTTTGCTGATGTGGAGTGTGGGTAGGAAACTAAGCATTCAGTCATCAAATCCTGGAGTTCTGGTGATGAAAAACAGAAAAATAACCCAGAACTTTTTAGTGGGCTTAGGGAAGTTATGTATATTATCCCCTGAGTGCGTTTGTTGATTCCTGAGAGCCACTGCTTAATTTAAAACCTAGGCAGAAAATCAGGATGGAGCTTGTAGTATTTTTGCAAGACAGAAGTTAGATATGTCATCCTTTTGGAACTGATCCTTGAACAATAGGTTCAGTTAAAACTTGGGAGGAAAAGAGGAGGCGGGGGAACAAAGGAAGATAATTCTTACCAAGAGAGCACCCTAATCTGGACTCATCCAGTGGCCTAATAGGAAATAAATCTTCTATGAATAAAGATGACATCAGAAAGCTTGGCAAATTTTTATGGAAAGATTATAGGATCCATGAAAAGGACTACATTTCTAGAACAAAAGGAAAAATAGCTGATATAAATAGACCCAGAAGTGAGCCACATCATTCATATCCCATTTTGATAATAACCACTTTAAATATTTAAACTATGGTTAATTATCATGAAAATAGAAGAGACTGGAGAAAAAAAGACTTAAAAAGTGAAGATTTGAGAAATGAAGATATTGGCAAGTACAAATTTAAATAGAAATTCAAAGAAGGGTAAATACCATACCTAAAATTAAAAACTCACTAGATAGGTTTTAGATTAGATGCATTAGATGCATTAGACAGATACATGAAAAGTACTCAACTGAAAAACTGAGATAAAAGACTGGAGGAAATAAAAGTGGAATCAGAGATTTGTGGTATACGTGAAAAGATCTAAGATTTGAATAACTGAAAGGAGAGAAGAGAGAATTGAGCAGAAGTAATTTTGAAAAGATGATGTACCAAATTTCCTACATGTTATAAAATATATTAATGGTTTCCCTAAGAAGGTTAGATGTATAGAAAAACCACAACTGAACGTTAAGATGCTGAAAACCAAAGAAAAAGTCTTGGCTGTAATCTGATAAAAACAATAATCACTTTCAAAAGAGCCAGCAGTAAGATTGATAATATACTTCTCAGTAGAAACAGTATAAACGTTTTACAAAAATGGCAGCTCACCTACAAATCTATAAATCTAGCAAAAGTAAAAATAATAGTAACAATAATAATTTCAGTCAAAACCCAGAAGAACCCATTGCCAAGAGCCTTGACAAAAAAGTTAAATGAAAATAGCAATTAAACAAATCTACAACAAATAGAGGTGTCTTCAAAGAAAGAATAAGTCATTCAGTTACCATTAAATTGAAGAATAATGGAAAAGGTGAATATGTGAGTAAATATAAATTGATACTGACTAAATTAGTTTTAAACATAAATAAAATGAATGTCACTTACAGAAAAACAACTAAGTGAACGGTGATGAAAATAAACAAAGTGTTGAAAAATTCTAACATTATTGAGAACATGGTAGAATAGTATTTCCTCTTAGACTATAATACATCATCAGAGGCTATTGTAATTTCAATGTTAATAACTGAAAGTTTTTAAAATAGTAAAAAGGAAAAACCAGAATAAAAAAGTAATTGGTTGATTAAGTTTTAAGAAACCTAAAATTGGTGAGTTAAATAATCTGTATTTTGAACAGTGGAATCATATTTTTAAAAGCTTTATTAAAGAGAAATACATTATTGTTCCAGTCTAAAAAAAAATGTAATCTATATAATACATGTATAATTATTTTGTTTTTCTGACAGCTCCTTTGTGATATTGGCCACAGTGAAGAAAAACTGGGTTTTAACTATGAGGATATCATAATATGGTAAGTATAGTTCAGTTTCTCCCCTCCACCCTTCTAGATTTTAGTGATTTTTCTTTTTATTAATTTTAAAACTAAAGATAGTATAACTCACATTAGATTTTATAGAAATGTGTTTTTGAACAATAGAAAAATTTAGAATTTCCAGTATTTTAAGCCTTCTTACTGCTGCTTTTTGTGATTATCACAAAAAAATTATTGCTAATGTTGAAAATTACCTGGACTTTACTAGTTTAAACTTCTGTATTAAATTTGAAATTCACAAAATGAGTCTCCGTATGTCCAAGAATAGGAACCTATCATTATCTCTAGTTCTAACACAAAGTACTTTTACAGCAAAACAGATTTGCCCACACTCATCAATAGAGGCATAATATTATAGTTTATTAACTACCTTTTTGGTATGCTTAGGAATTACAAATGATATACTCTGTACCTACCATCATAAAGCTTTATTTATTGTATTAAACCAATTTGTTTCTAACCTATCTAGGGGCAGTTAAGCAGGCAGAAAGAAAGAAATTGTAGAGGTGTACATGTGATACAGCTTGAAAAAAGTATTTAATTTTCTATTGTTGATATAAAATAAACTGCAGAAGGTAGACTAAAAGTAAGTTACATTGTTATTGATTGGTAAAGATATATCAAGGAGGCACAGATTAAAAACTATCATTAGTGAAGTTCTGGAATCACAGTGATTGATTTTTATATAAATAAAATTAGTAGTCGTTTTGTATATTTCAACTGAAGAAGCATTTGGCGCCATAATTTTTATGTGTATTTGAAACTTGGGCAGTAAAACTTCTTTGCTTGTTTTTATACAGTTTGCGGTTAGCTTTATTGAATGAAGCAAAAGAAGTGCGAGCAGCAGGGCTACGAGCTCTTCGATATCTCATCCAAGACTCCAGTATTTTGCAGAAAGTGCTGAAATTGAAAGTGGACTATTTAATAGCTAGGTAATTTTCCTAGAACTGCATATGTTTTTTAAATTGTGTATTAAGTTTTAGCATGCTGATCATAAAACACAAATTTTATGATAAAACCTGTTATTTTTTTTTTCATATATATACAGCCAGCTACATTCTATTCTTGAGTAAGGTATAGAACATTTTCACCTTGTTTCACCAGCCATTCTCACTTTTTTTCATCTTAGACTATTGATAGTTTTTTCTTTTCTTGAACATCATACATTGGCAGTATACAATCTTATACTTTTATTTCCTCAGTACTCTGTGAGATTTAGTCATGCAATTTTTAATTGTTTTGTAGTGTTTCATGTTATGGAAAAAAACACATGATTTATTTATTCCATTCTGTTGATGATTTTCTGAGTTGCTTTCAGTGTATGGCTATTGAAAAAAGCTGTCCCTTATATTCTTGTGCAAGTCTGTTGATAAAACTTAAGCATTTATTTTTCCATGGGTTGTGTTATGTATATAGGAATAGAATTGGTAGATAGTAGGTTTATATAAAGTTAGTTTTTAATAGATATTACCAACTTTCCAAAGTGATTGTACCAATTTACAATTTCATCCAGTTTACCATCCTACCATCAATATTTATTTGAGAGTTCAAGTTTCTCCACATTTTCATCTGCACTTGCTATTTTCAGCCTTTAATTATAGCCCTCTGCTGTGATTTTTATTGTGAATTCTTACTGATTTTTGATTTGCATTTTCCTGATGATGATATTAAGCACTTTTCATTGGATAGCCTCCCTGTTTTGTGCTCATGTGTAAGTTGGATTGTATATCCAGTTTATTGTGTAGTAGTTCTTGATGTTGTCTGGATATGATTCATTTTAGGTTTATTTTTGAAAATAGCTTGTCCAAATCAGTCTGCTCTGCCTTTTCATTCTCGTCAATTAAAAAAAAAACAATTATGAAGTAATTTTATTTAGGTTTTTTGTCTCTTTGGAATATATTCTGCTTTCTTCCTGAAAGTGGTGTGTTTTATATATGGTAAATGGACTTCATCTAATGTAATTACATATAAATACATATACTTATGTGTGTATAAGTATATATCTATATATGTATGAGTTTTTCTTTTTGCTGTTAGTTATTTAGCACATTTGTTTATGGTCCTGTTTTGGGGAAAAAACTTACTCTTAATATTTTGGTTTATAAAAACTTTTTAGCAGTTGTTGTAGAGATTACAACATGTATCTTTGCAATGTTAAGGTGTACGGCTTCTATTACCACTATAACAATACAAGAAAGTCATGTGCTTTATCTTTTCTGCTTTCTGTGTTACATTTTCAAATTTCTATATATATTTGTAATCCCACAGGACTTTCTAATTATTGTTTTAAACTGGAACTATTTGTATTTTCCTACACTTGTTAAACATGTTACAGCATTTTTCTATCTTACATTTCTATTTTCATTTTCGATCACTTTCTTTTTGATGAATTTCCTTTACTGTTTATTATAGTTCATGTCTACAGGAGATGAAATCCTTCATTTATATTTCTGGAGTTTGTTTTAACCTGTTGACAAATGAGCAACCTTTCTTTTTGTTGCTTCTTTGTAAGTGGTGTGTCTTTTTCTCTACTTTGAAAGATTTTTCCTGATACAAATTCTTTGCTCTGGTACCCCAGCTATGCAGTTTTGGATTTCTTCACTCTGCCATGTGTCTCTAATGCCCTTACTCTGTTGTCAGCCTTTTCAGCCTTGTGCTTCAGTGTGGTTACTTTTTACTCACATACTGTTTTTTTCTTATTCCTCCATCTGGCTAATAAATCAATCTCTTGAGTTTTTAATTTCCGTTACTACATTTCTTTCATTTCACTTTTATTTAAAGACTCTAGGTCTCAGCTTTATTTCTCCCATCTGTCGTTCTGTTTTCTCTGAGCATATTAATCACAGTTATTTGTAGCCTGGTGACAACTCCAATATGTGAATCACCTGTGTTCTCTTTCTCTTGTCATTTTCCCTTAGTTTTTTGGCTACTTGGTCCTCTGTTTTAAAGAAGAGATCACATTATCATATTGGATGGGACATTGTATAATCAGAATTTGTTATTTTTATTTTTGTTAAAAATTTATTCTGCAATTTTCACTTATAACACAGATTATTAAAGTTTGATTTTACTTTATCTTTGCTTTAAGAAGTTGCTATTTTGGATCTCGTGTGAAGTATGGATATTCAGCAGTATCGCTTCATGTTGCTCAGATTTGAGTCCTATCATCTATCTTAAAATAATTTATACCTGTCAGATATCTGCTTTGCTGCTTAGTTTCTCATTCGTTTCTGGAATTTTAACCCTTCTTTTGCACATAAAGAAACTGACAAGAAAAGAAGTTGGCTGCATATTTTTTAATACTTATTTCCCCATGTTTCCTTCTTTTTTGGAATTTCCTCCTCAAATCCCAGTCACTTTGGCTGCACTAAAATTTAGCCTGTTTCCAATCTAGCATAGTTTGCTTTCTCTTAGTACTCATTCCCATAAGACTGAGGGGATACACAAGGGTCCCCAAGGACAAAACCTCTTTAGATATGGGGCTTAAACCACTCTTCTATGGGTTGTTTTTCATTACCCTTTTAAGAGTTTGCTCTGTATGTATTTTGTTCAGCCTTTGTAGTTTTTCTAGCAGGGAAATTGGTCTGCTCCAGGTCTTTTGGTTGTAGCCAGAAATGGAAGTCAAAAGTCTATGTACTTTTCAATTAAATTGCTGTAGATTAATTGTAGTCAGACAAAAGAAACACTTGTTGAATAGCAAACTATATATACATTGTGTGTATATATATGTGTATTTTATATGTAGTATAATCAATTTTTATATAAACCTGATGTACATGTTGACTCAAGTATATAAAAGATTGAATTAGTAAACTAATTGAAATAGTAAACTATTCAAACAATAGTAAACTAATTGATTGAAATGGTAAACTATTCAAACAAATAACAATGAATTACTCTACCTGGTATGCCCAAGATGTTTTAGAAATTAAATAAATAATAAATTATATAGAGAATTAGCAATTAAGTGATACTTGATTGAGCTCAATTTTTGGAGTGACTTCACATTTTAAATTATATTTTGATAAAATGGAATTTTTGTGACTAGTACATAGCACTTTTAGTTTAAAAATAGAATATGAATCTTGACCCTGATTAAAAGTATACTCTGAAATATAATCATGAAATATTTTCCTTTAAAACTTTTCATAAGATATTAAGGTAATTTTTTTTCTGTAGATTTCTGATACTTTGCTGTTTTTTATTTTGTGTGTGAATGTACTTATATGCTATTTCCTTCCTGAAGTTATAAAGTTCTTAATGTTTTATTATGGCAAATATTTATCACTAGAGATATATAAGTTAACTAAATGTCTGCTGGTATGAAAAATGTGTTAATTTTTAAATATAATGTTTATTTTTATAAAGCTATGTTTGGTTTAGTGGTATTGTACAAAAATTTTTAAATAAGAATTTTATCAATAATTGAATATTTTGTGTATCATTTAGGTGCATTGACATACAGCAGAGCAACGAGGTAGAAAGGACACAAGCACTTCGATTAGTCAGAAAGGTATGCTGGTGGGAGTAAAGTCAGATTTATTGCTTTTGCATTAAATACCAATTTTTAGACCTAGACTAGTGAAATTTTAAAATTTACATATTTAATTTTTATTAAAAATTTAATTCTGGACCCTCCCTGGTGGCGCAGCGGGTTAAAGCACAGCACTAAGAACCTTAAGCCACTTCCGCATGAGTTCGATCCCCGCCTGCTCCAGAGGAGATCCACATGGCAAGGCAGACCCCTCCTGACCCGCCCACTGCTCCCCTCGGCAGTGCACTTTGATCATCTGCCTGTTCTGCTCTCCACTCTGTTCTGTCTCTGGTGAACCTCTCTCCCTCTACATCTCTGGCCTGTACCCCAGTTCTGTATGAATAAATAAATAAATCTTTAAAAAAAACTTAATTCTGTTATATATATGAGTTAAATAGGTCTATTAAGTTTCTAAGTAAGCCTTAGTATTTTGTTTAACAGTCTATGTGATTAGATATAACCAGGATAATATTTTTTATAAAATGTTCATTGTAAAGAATATTTTTCTTTAATAGACATGTAAATGAAATAGCTGCTTTGATGCAGAGTGCTTCCCCACTCTGATTTTCTCTTGTGTATCTAGAGCTAATGTTTTTAAGTGGATGTCATAAATAGTTACAAGCTGGTGGTTTTGAAGATTAATTTGAATATAATCCACGGGCAGTTGCAATAAACAATTCAGGCCGTTGTGTAGGATAAAAGATCATAATCTGAATTCTGCAAGAGAAGAAGTATTAAGGAGAATCCATAATACTACTAATGAGAGGCCTTTAAGAAATGTTTTTGTTGCTGTTAAATGTAATGTGATGCAGTGAAATAAAGGAACAGCATTAACTTGGTTAGAACACTGGTTGATTAAAATGTTAACATGTTTCTTCATGAGATCTATTTTTTTTATTGTAAAAATGTCAAAATTAAGCTTATCAGTGCTTATAAAAACATTGAAAATTATTTTATAATGATATTTTTTGTTCTTTCCACCTTTGAATTCAGAATATGCTCTGGAATGGTGGACTATTGAGATTGTACATTAATTAGATCCCCCTTTTTTTTCTTTCAGTTTTATAGTTTGTGGTTAGTAAGGAGTTTGGAGATAGGTTACAATATTTTTGTTTGGTAGGTTGTTACACCAAGATATGATTTGAATTTTCATATTTAAATTCAAAGATTGGATTTATGTTTTTTACTTATTCATACAGTCCTTCCTACTGCATGATTTTGAGAATTCAATGTCAGAAAACAAAATTGTTTCTGAAGAACATAGAGCAACCTTTGGTTAGTGTGAGTTATATATGTCAATAATTTTTCACACTAAGAATTAAAAATCAGAAATTTTTTTTTAAAATAACAGTAAATCTATTACATGGAAACATAAACTTTTATAAAAATAACTATATTTTCCAAAAAGATAATTTAGTGATTAAAGTAGTCTTACTTTAGATTTTGGCTAATCTCTTTAATGTTTATTTTGATACAAAATAGTTGGATTGTCATTTGCTTCTGCATTCACTCTGTTGTGATTTCACACTCACTGAATTTGAAAAACTTCACTATATTCTTGTGAAAGGATGAGTGTGAAAAGGCAAATAATATCTTTGTATTATTATGGAAACAGTTTTAATGTTACAGAATCTTGAAATTATTGTAGGGACCCTTAGTTCCCTGAATCACACTTTGAAAATTGCTGTTCTTTAAATCATTCAGAAGAGAAACGACTCCAAATTGATTCATACAATTCAGTCAAATTCAGCTTCTTTGTATTATTTAGTAAATATTTTATTTCAACTTTGTGAAAATTTTTTATACAAGTTAAATTTAATATAAAATATTAGTAAAAGTCCATTAATAGTTTAGTAATCCCTTAACAAAAGTCTTTTGTCTTCTGAAGAACAGAGTGAATTGAGTCAGATATCATTTGTGAATCCAATAATAGAAAAAGCTCTTGATTAGAGGGTAGAATATAGGGTCAGAAGAAGAGTATTGTACACAGTCCTTACCTGGTTTAGCTAAAAGCAGTTAAATGGAACTCACTCTTGCTGAAAACAGGGGCCTCTGTTGGCCAAAAGACTGTAATTTCCTTTGTACTTGTAAACAGTGGAGCACAGGGCATCTTGGCAACGATCTAGTGGAAATTGTTAATATTGATTGGGAAGTCACTGAAGTTTTTGGCATTCAAAAAGATTTTTTAATTTTGTTATGTAAGTATTAAATCTTACATTTAAAAAGAAAAAGCAAAAACATTTGTTGCTTTAGGATAACTTTATCAATATTTAAAGGGTACTCATGTTCCTTTGCTTGCTCCCCCACCCCCTAACCCCCTGCCAAATACCTCTGGTTTTTCCTCTTACTTTCCAAACTGTACAGCTCTTCCTGGTTTTTATCTTTCATTTTCTATGTAATTTTCTCACTGCTAGTTGTTATTCTTTATCCTTTTAAAGTTTTACTTCCTCCCTGATTTAAGCTGTCATTTTCCTTATACATTATTTCTTTTTTCATATTATAGGTGATGAACATGTATCACAGATTTCTATAGTTAAAAGGGATTATTTTAGGGAAATTACTTACCATTGATACATGCTAGATATTGGTAAAGCTAGAGAGAAGACTCAGTTTTGTGTTGGCCAATGAATCCTTTCAGTATTAAGCACAATCTGCTCATCTTGGCATTCAGAGCCCAATTTTAGTCCAACCAATTATCACATGTCTCAGTATCTCATTATGCATTTAAACTATCTGCCACCAATAATGTTCTCATTGCTTCTTTTCTATTCTTTTCATTTGCACCCCTTCCACATTATAGTCATCCTCTAGTTTTAACTCATTTCAGATATTTCCTATAGAGAACTCACTGCTTCTCTAATTCCTTTATAGCAGTTCTATACATTTATTATCTACTCATGATCTGTAATTTGTTTCATATTTATCCTATCATTAAAAAAAGGTGATATAATCTTTTTTAACGTCAGTAGAATAAATTTGATGACTTTTCCCTTACTTAGTATTTATTATGAGTAAAACTTTTTTTGATATACACTGAATATAAGAGGTGCTGTATATTTTTTGTAGAAAATACTGGTAGCATTTTAAATTTCAGGTTTCCTTTCTACAGCATGACAGTTGAGATTCAGAGAGTAGAATTTTAAACTTGAAAATTTTGAAATTATTTTGTCACACACCTTCTTACGTTATAGCTGGGGAAACTAAGACACAATAAGCATTTATTTAATCAAAATATTGGTTTGTTAATGGTAGATTTAGCTCTGAAAGTCAGCTTACCTGACATTCTAGCTAGCTCTTTTTGGGAATACATTATATGTATTTTACTGTTTCATTTAGTCTCCTTGGAAATACAACAAGTATTGAAGTCAGGTTAATATTATAAGAAAGTTAGAATTTTCTCACTTGTGAAACGTATTTTACTGTATTTCTTTAACCTTTACTCCCCAGGTTTTTTCCCCTCAACTTTTTCATTAGTGGAAAATACTGATTTCAAAAAGAATGTGATAGCCATTGTGGGTACTTCTGTTACTGGAAATCCATTTTATGAACTTTGTAGTATCGTATAGTGCGGTTTAAACCATTTGCAAGTACCCTAGCTAATCAAATCTCCCTTTGATTCTCGGTGAGACTTAAATTTAAATGTATCTTTCATTTAGTTAAATTGTCAACAGTCATATTTTTCCATTAGAATTCAAAGCCCAATAACATACAAGCACATTTAAATAATTCCCCTCAGGGCCTCCCTGGTGACCTCATCATTATTACCCTTATGGCCTGAGTTCAATCCCTGACCAGGGAGCTAATCCACAAGACAGTAGCACACCTCTCCTGTCTTGTCACTGCCTCCTTGTAGTATATTTCAGTAAATCCACCTATTCTGCTCGCAACTTTGGTGAGTCCTTTTCTCCTGGCACCTCTGATCTACACCCCAGTTCTCCTATGTAACGATAATGATAATGATAATGATAGTAATGGTTCCCCGCCCCCTCATATTTTATTATCACCCAGACATAAGTGATTCTTGCACCCATTTCAGGAATCTTTTACTTTGAAATCGCTCATCTATTAAATAGTCTTTATCTATAAAGAGTATTTAATTGTGTAATTTGTTTTCTGGTTCGTAATTCGATGTTATATATTGTCTATTTTTTAATATTCCAAATGTTATATTGTCAATTATACTTTTAAGTGAGATTCATCCAGTTTTATCATCAGATTAAACTATTTTCATCATAATTTTTTTAAACATTAGAGTATTATGGATTACTATTAATTTTGCTTCCTGGCAGAGTAACAGTGATGGCTAGAGATAGGGAGATAGGCATTTATTGCAGCAAATTGAGAAAAAATGAGTGCCCAAGTCAATGAATTTGATGAGGAAAGGAATTAGGAAAATGCAGTATTTGGTGGGATTTTGTGGTGATTGTATATGGAGATTGTATATATGGAATGTAGTAGTGTGGTATGTTAACAGCTTTTGTTACCACCTATTTACTATGTCTGTGTACTGAAAAGTTGTTTAAGTTATAGTTCCTTTTGTAGTGGAGCTTGTAATCACAGAAACATCATGTTGATCAACCAGTTTATAATCTGAGCAATATGGGGAAAATGCCAAAGTATTTTTTCATAGTAATGTTTGTTTTTATTTATTGCATCAACTATTAGTTTTATTAATCTTCTAATACCATATTAAACAGAAAATTTAAATTGGTTGCCAGATCTTGTCAATATTTTAAAGTCATAAATACCATAGTTAAAGAAAAATGTATTTAAAAATGGTTTTAAAAATGGATTATGAAATAAATAACTTCATTTTGTGATTCCTCCTGTTGCAGATGATTACTGTGAATGCTTCCTTATTTCCTAGTTCTGTGGCTAACTCCTTAATAGCAGTTGGAAATGATGGACTTCAAGAAAGAGACAGAATGGTCCGAGCATGCATTGCTATTATCTGTGAACTAGGTCAGAATTTTCTTCAAGTAATAACAATGTAGTGTTTTGAAAGAATATACAGCATTTCTTAATGCTTCTAATATATGACTCTTTAGAATAAGCATGTTAAAATGTAGAACATTCTGACGATGAAATAGAGGACTTTTTTAACATATGTTAAAATTGACATGTACCCAAGAAAGAGGAGAAAAAATTTTTTCAAGGTAAGCAGGTGGAAAATAACAGTGAAATGAAGTCTTAGACAACAAAATAGATTGGTTAATCTAGCTCATGTTAATAGAAAAAAAGGAATAATTACACAGTTTTGAGAAGTACTGAGGGCAGATTATTGTAGGAATTGTAAAGCCGTTTATGTATTTGAAAATCTTATTGATATGAGGAACAGGATGTTATAGGAAGTTTGAAACAGTTTATATATTCGAAAATCTTATTAAAATGAATGGGCAATCAGGAAATTTTAACTACTAGTAGAATCAAACTTAGAAAACATGCCATATTGAAAATCATAGAAGTACTTGATGAAAAACATGATCTTACATATTTTATCTTAACTTACTTCTAGGAAGATAAAATTATTTTATAATGTAATCTGATCAAGAACATTAAAAATATATGATACCAATTTATGAAAGTAACATTTCATATAACTATATTTATATACACAGATGTATATACACATATCTCTACACATATATAAAATAATTGAAAGGCTACTTTGTTAACATTCTGGAATCTTTCAAATTAATACTCTTAAATTGAAGATCTTTGCAAATATTACATCCTTTTAGCTTTTAATTAGTATTTAAAAGTCTTTCAACTCTATTAGTAAGACAGTATAATAAATTAAGTTGCATAATGGAAAGACACTATTTGTAGGCTGTCTATCTAGAAAACTGAATGAAAAACAACATTTAATTGACTATAGTGGAAACATCAAAGTACAGATTGATATATTTCTTTTGTGGTATTGTTAACAATAGCAAACATAGAAAAAATAACTATTTTCAAAGTAAAACTATATTCAATGAATTAATAAGTACATGAATTGTATGTATGTAGAGTACTTTAGAATTTAATTCTCAAGAAGGCACAACTCACCTATACCTAGGTAAATAAGATTAGAGTAGCAGAAAGGGGCTAAGTGATGTGAGGGAAGCTTCTAAGATTGTGAAAATTTTATACCTTGAATAGAGTATTAGTTCCCTGGGGATATACATTATTCAAGTTTTTTTGAACTGTATGCCATTAAGATCTATGTAGTTTACAAGGTAATTTTACCTAAATTTAGGAAAAAGTAGAAGCTTAATTTTAAATTTTAGCAAGAATAAAACAGAGAGAATCAGTAATGAGTAAAATATTTTTAAAAAACCAGTAAATAGAGTGAAGGGTTAGGTTTTTTTTTCATAAATTTGAGGAAACTGCTTTTATTATCAAGAGATAGTAAAATGAAAAGAAGTCAATAATTCTAAAATGTATATACAGAAAAGTTTTGTAATACAAAGGTATAAAATTCAGTATGAAAAATATGCTAGCATACTTAATAAATTATTGAAAAAAAGTTTCAGTTTCTTGGAAATGTTAATCATAAACCCATGTAAAACATACATAGTTGTTTGTGAGTACATGAAAAGAAAATGTTTTATTTTTGAAGTAAATGAAGAGTTTCGGAGCTTAAAATATGACCTTAAAAATCTAAATTACAAATCAAGTAAGGGATTTAAAACAAATAAATGGCAAATATTCCTAATATATAAGTTGTTCAATAATAGCCCAGTTTTCTGTTTTTATTTTTTACTAATTACCCCAATATAATATTTTAAGTTTTTCTTTTTTATTTTAGCACTTCAGAATCCAGAAGTGGTGGCCCTTCGAGGTGGACTAAACACCATCTTGAAAAATGTGATTGATTGCCAATTAAGTCGAATAAATGAGGCCCTCATTACTACAATTTTGCACCTCCTTAATCATCCAAAGACCCGACAATATGTACGAGCTGATGTAGAATTAGAGGTAGGAACTTTTAATATTCTTTCTAATTTTCAAATATGACTTAAAATACATCCTTTTACATTGAACAAATATTTAAAGTAAATAATAGGTATGGCACAGTATTCATAATCAAACTTATTAAGCAAAATTGGCTTATTCCTAGAAATATTTTGTAGCTCATTTAGTTTGGATGGAATTGAAAGTATTCTCAAGAGTATTTGATAAATATGTACAGAGAATATTTTATTATCTATGGAATTGTATGAAAAGCAAAATAGAACATAAGATTACATAAAATATTTATCTGTTTATTTAAAAAAAGGTCATTTATTTTGGAAGGCTTCAATACATTGCATGAAAATAGCTCCAACTAATTATTCAATATTTATACGTTAAGCTTTTCTGAACTTGAAAATATGTTGTTAAAAACGAAGACCATCTATACTTGAAGGAAATAAAATATGTATATTTTTAAAACACTCTACTAAAACATTTTTACTAATTCAGTGTTTTTTATAGTTTAAAATAATGAGGCTACTATATATTCCTTTGTGATAAAACATTTAATGGAGGCTAAAATAGAATCATTACTATATTTTTACAGTGTTGTCTGATTCAGATATCACTCAGTAAATGTAAACCAACAATTCATTTGTATGTGGGTATGAAATTATTCAATATGTAAAAGATATGCTATTTACGCACTTATTTTTAAAACATTTTGTGAAATTTACTTTGTATTTCTAATATTATTAGGGCATTAGAAATATTTGAGATTAAAAATTAACATGAGCCTGGATCACTAACAAGTTTAAGTAGAATATTCTTTGTGATTTCAAATATATTATTCACTGGAATAAACTGGCATTTTTAAATTTTAAATCTTTTTTAGTGCGTTCAAATCTTTATAAAGAGGAAAAACAAATTATAAAATAAAAGAATATAATATGTGTAGCTTTTTTTATTCCTATGTAATTGTATAGCATATTAGCAAAGCCTTTGCAAAAATGAAGAAACCCCAGGCCTCCCTGGTGGCCTGGGGGTTAAGTCTAAGCACTGCCTGAGTTCAATCCTAGGTGAGGAGACCAACATACATTTGGTGCAGCAGATCTTGTCTTGCCCACTGCTCCCCTTAGCAGTGTATTTCAGTAAAAATCTGCCTGTTTCTCTTTTCATTCTGTCTCCAGTGAATACACTCATTCCTGTATATACTATTCTTTTATGCAAAGTAAAAAAGAAAAAAAGGCAGGGCTTCTGGTATTAAAATAAATAAATAAATGAGGAACCTTGAAAAGATTATGGTAGGCTTTTAAAAACTACTATCTTTCATATATATTTTTAAAATAAGACATATTCTTTTTTTGTTTTTTTAAAATTACTGAAGTATCATGGAACAATTTTTATACTCATTTATTTGTGTTCATTTTTTGTTTGTTTTTCAATTTTTAAATATTTATTTTCTTAAATTGTTGTTAATTTTTGGACAGTATTTTATTTCTTCCTTTCTTGTAGCCCCTATAGTTGTCCTACCACCATATTGCCTGTGCTCCATTATTAGAGTCCCTTGTGCTTTTTCCTCCCCTGTTTCTGATCCTTCTTCCTCCACTCCCTTTCTGTATGTCTGAGATCTGTGGCCAGCTTGCAAGTTTTGTCTCTTTCCTGATCCTTTGATTTATCTGTGTTTCCCATATGAATGAATCCATTCAATGCTTACCTTTTTCCTTCTGACTTAATTCGCTTAGCATAATCCCTTCCAGCTCCATCTATATGTTGCCACAGATGGTATGAATTTATCTCTTTTTGATTGCTGACTAGTATTCCATTGTGCATATATACCATATCTTGATGCATTCATCTGTTTCGGAGCATTTAAGTTGTTTCCATACCTTGTGTTTTGTAAATAGTGCTGCAGCAAACATGGGAATGCAGGCTTCCATCCAGATTAGTGTTTTTGCATTCTTTGGTTAGATTCCTAGGAGCAGTATTGTTGGATCATCTGATAGATCCATTTTTAGTGTTTTAAGGAATCTCTATACAGCTTTTCATAGTGGCTGGACCAAAAATCGTACATAATCCCCTCCCCACCCCCTCCTCATAACAAATAACAAGATACCTTAGAAAAACATTGATTGAGCACATAGACTTTGGGCTATACAGATAAGGTTTTGACTTTTTGCTTTATGACCCACTACTACTTTGGGTATGCTGTTCCCTCTTTCACTTGTTTTTCTTCCCTGCTGGAGAGAATGAAGGTCATATTTTTGTGTTAAAGAATTGCTGTGGAAGATAAATAATGATGATGATTTTGCCTCTTTTATCTCAAAAAATTCTTGCGAAGAATTAATACTATAATAATGATGACAGAAACAACAGCAGCAGCTAATACTCCAAACTTAGAACAAGTTAGGTAGCATTGTAGGTGCTTTGAATGTGTAACTTTTATGTACATGTTTTATTTAATATCTGGAACACAATAAATGTTCAACATAAGTTAGTTGCTCTGGGTGTTACTCATTATCATCATTATCATTGCAGTGTCAACTGTTACTATGTTTTTAGTTTTGCGCTCTCTACCAAATTTTCCTCTTATGAAACATCCCATTTTTAATTTACTCCAATTCTATTCCTACTATATGAGATTATTTTTACTTCAGAGAGAGAAAATTGAGGACTTTATAAAATGTTAATAGAATATACAGTCTGTAATGGTTGTTAATTAATTGTAATTTTTTAATTGTAAGTTTAAAGAAGGCATGTTTTAAAATTTAGAGTAGGATAGTTCATATCATCTGCTGTGGAAAACTATAACAATGGAATAATTGTAAAAGTTATATTTAAAATATCATAAAACTGAAAGCAGTGAGGTCAGAGAGAGTAGAATTCCATATAGGGTTGACTGTTTGAGAACTATATTGATGATCTACAGATGCCTTTGGAAATAAATAACTTGCAGATTTTGGGCATAGGGAAGAGGCTAAGAATATGACCTAAACCTAGGTAGAAGATGAGAATATTTGGTGGTTATGTGAGTATAGAGTAACAAATCTAGACACATGAAAAATCCCCATATTTACTGAAATAAGAAGCTAGCTACAATGTCAAAACTTGAAGTACAGTAGAATGTGCAGTATATAAGAGGCACAGGCTTCCTGGGAGAAAGGGTCACAAGCAAAAGTCCAGAGGAGTCTAGGAAGTAGGGAATTGGTTATATGTAGTTTTCCCTACTGCACCACAGACTAATTAGGATATAATTAGTGGCTAAAAATTAGGTGGGATTAGAAAAACCTGAAGAAATTTTGGCAGTTATATGGTGCTTAAGTGACAAACTGGATAGATATTTCTTAGCTAATTGCCTGTTTTTGACATTTCTCAAATTCTGAAGCTACTTGAGATGAGTAAGTAAAGGTGTAAGTTCAAAACTTATGAACAGTATAGGGAAAATTTCTAATGTCTCACAGCTAATGAGAAAAATACTTGCTAAACTCCCTATTGACATTACTAGGGTACTGTACTTTAGCAATAGGGGAAAACCAGTCTTATAAGAATTACAGTGTGTAATCAGTTTAACTCAATTGGTGGTTAGGACAAGATTTTCAGTCTGTTAACCAACCTGACAGAGAACAGAATGAATCAACTCTGGTAATAACATCAGTTGGAGCCATTCATAAAATGCACAGTGTCTAACATTTGATCAGAAATGTTTAGTCATACCAGAAAAAATCACATGATCATAATAGCAGGAAAAAACTATTCTGTAGAAACATACTATGGGTGATAATAGATACTGCATTTAAAGGAAAAAGACTATTAAGACAACCATGGCTAATTTGTTTAGGAAAATGGAGAGCAGGAGGAAGAAAATGGAGGAAATAATGGAGCATTTCGTAAGGTATTTCACATATACTACACAAAAAGAGCCCTAGTACTAAGAACTACAGTATCTGAAGTTCTGAATCAATAAGGTGGAAAATTCACCTTGTACAAGAAAATACTGCCAGTAACCTAAAAACAACTCTGCAAGCTATCTAGAGTAAAGCATGCAGAAGACAAGGAAATAACACAAGGGATAAAATTATAGTTAAAGTATATAATTGTACATTCTAGAAAGTGAAAATGTTTAGAAGCAAATATCCAAGGAGACAAAGACTACAACCTTTGCTTGTAAATCTGATAAAACTTTATGTCCAAATAATAATAATACAAAGAAAACAGCATTAGTCACATCATGGTATGATTATTGAATACTGAAACTAATAAAAAAGCAGCTTGAGGCCCTTCCTGGTGGTGTAGTGGGTTAAAGCACATCACTAAGAAGCTAAAGCCACTTCAGCATGAGTTTGATCCCTGCCCCGGAGGTGACTCACATGGCGAGGCAGATCTCTCCTGACCTAACTGCTGCTCCTCTTAGCAGTGTACTTCGTCCACCTGCCTGTTCTGCTCCCCACTCTGTCTCTGGTGAATCCTCTCACCGCCCCTGTACCTCTGGCCTATACCCCAGTTCTGTATGCATAAATAAATAATTTTTTTTAAAAAAAAGCAGCTTGAAAGAAAAAAAAAATCTTTACATTCAAAGTGATAAGTCTGACTGCCAATTTCCCAATATAAATAATGAAAACCAGAAGACAAAATCTTCAGAATGATAAAAGAGAAATCACAAACTTAACCTAGAGAAAATATCTTTTAAAAGCAAAGGTCAGACTAAACTTGTCAGATTAAAGAAACTTGTCAGATTAAAGAAGAAGGAAAGAAAGAGAATTTAAAGACACATTGAGTCTCTTTCTTGGATTGCTTACTTTTATATCATAAAGGAAGCAGTACAGCAGATGAAAGTGAGGTACACCTGGGGAACAACTGAGTGTTACTTTACAATTAACTACTGCTTCTAAAGTAGTTAATTGTTAGGGCCTATGGGTGAACTAGTACTCCAGTCAGGTTTTCCAAGTATTGAAACCCGAACAATATTTTGACTGCTATCTTATGAGGGACCCTGATACATAACTGCCAGCCAAACCTTTCCTAATGTTCTTGAGTCATAGAAACCATGTGAGGTAATCATTATATTATTATTGTTTCAAAAGTGAGACAGGCATAAAGAAAGGAAAGGCTGAAGTGAGTCTTCACTTAGAAGTAAGATTGATCTAAGATAAAGAAATGTAGGAAGAAGGGAATGAAAAATTCCAGAAAATGTTGTGTGTGTTTGTGGGGGAGAGAGAGAGA